AACATAGACTTGCAAGACATGGCCTGTATGAGAAGAAGAAGACCTCAAGAAAGCAACGAAAGGAACGCAAGAACAGAATGAAGAAAGTCAGGGGGACTGCAAAGGCCAATGTTGGTGCTGGCAAAAAGTGAGCTGGAGATTGGAACACAGCCGAAGGAGTAAAAGGTGCCGCAATGATGTTATCTATGGCCGTTGTGGATTTTTCACGAGAAGCTTATTAATAAACTAAAAACTTTTGTGGGAAAAAAAAAAAAAAAAAAAAGTGGGAGGAGAGGGTGGAAAAACTTGGGAGTACATATTTTTAATAATGATTTTCGTTTAAATTTAGCTTTTAAGTCCAGGGGTACATGTGCAGGTTTGTTATATAGGTACAATTGTGTCACAGGGGTTTGTTGTACAGATTATTTGATCACCCAGGCATTAAGCCTAGTACCCAGCAGTTATTTTTCCTGATCCTTTCTGACCTCCCACCCTCCACCTTTCAATAGGCCCCAGTGTGTGTTGTTCTCCTCTTTGTGTTCATGTTTTCTCATCATTTAGCTTCTACTTACAAGTGAGAACATAACAGTATTTGGTTTTCTGTTTCCCTAGTGTGTGTTGTTCTCCTCTATGTGTCCATGTGTTCTCATCCTTTAACTTCTACTTACAAGTGAGAACATACAGTTTTTTGTTTTCTGTTTCTACATCAAACTCACATCAGTTTGCTAAGGATAGTAGCCTCCAGTTCTATCCATGTTCTTGCAAAGAACATGATCTTGTTCTTTTTTATGGCTATATAGTATTCTGTGGTGTATATATAACACATTTTCTTTATCTAGTCTACCACTGATGGGCAAGGATGATTCCATGTCTTTGCTATTGCAAATAGGGCTGCAATGAACATACACATGCATGTGTCTTTATAATAAAATGATACATTATTTCGGGTATATACCCAGTAATAGGATTGCTGGGTCAAATGGTATTTCTTTCTCTAGGTCTCTGAAGAATCACCACACTGTCTTTCACAATGATTGAACTAAGTTACACTCACACCAACACTGTATAATCGTTCCTTTTTCTCTGCAACCTCACCAGCATCTGTTATTTTTTGACTTTTTAGTAACTGCTATCTGACTGGCATAAGATGATATCTCACTGTGATTTTGATTTACATGTCTCTACTGATCAGTGATGTTGAGCTTGTCGGCTGCAAGCATGTCTTCTTTTGGAAAGTGTCTGCTCATAGCCTTTGCCCACTTTTTAATGGGGTTGGGTTTTTCTTGTAAATTTAAGTTCCTTATAGATGCTAGATATTACGCTTTTGTCAGATGCATAGTTTGCAAAGTTTTCTCCCATTCTGTAAGTCATCTGCTCACTCTGTTGACAGTTTCCTTTGCTGTGCAGAAGCTCTTTAGTTTAATTAGATCCCATTTGTCAATTTTTGCTTTTGCTGCAATTGCTTTTGGTGTCTTCCTCATAAAATCTTTGCCTGATCCTATGTCCAGAATAGTATTGCGTAGGTCGTCCTCCAGAGTTTTTATATTTTTGGGTTTTATATTTAAGTCTTTTATCCAAATTGAGTTAATTTTTGTACATGGTGTAGAGAAAGGGTTCAGTTTCAATCTTCTGCATATGACTAGTCAGTTATCTCAACACCATTTATTGAATAAGGAATCCTTTCCCCATTGCTTGTTTTTGTCAGGTTTGTTGAAGACAGTTGCAGGTATGTGGCCTTATTTCTGGGTTCTTTATTCTGTTCTATCGGTCTATGAGTCTTTTCTTGTACCAGTAGCACGCTGTTTTGGTTTCCGTAGCCCTGTAGTATAGCAGTATAGTGTAATGCCTCCAGGTTTTTATGTTTTTGGTTTTTTTTTTTTGGGGTGTGTGTGTGTGTGTGTGTGTGTGTGTGTGTGTGTGTGTGTTTTCTTTTACTTAGGATTGCCTTGGCTATTTGGGCCCTTTTTTGTTCCATATACATTTTAAAATAGTTTTTTCTAGTTCTGTGAAGAATGCCAATGGCAGCTTTATAGAAATGGCATTGCCTCTATAAGTTGCTTTTGCCAGTATGGTCATTTTAACAATACTGAGTCTTCCTATCCATGGGCATGGACTGTTTCTCCATTTGTTTGTATCACCTCTGACTTCTTTGAACAGCGTTTTGTAGTTCTCCTTGTAGAGATCTTTCAAGACAGTACTATTTTGAAGGCAACAGCTGCTCAAGGAAAGTCTACACTAGAATAATGACTATTCTTTGAGAAACTATTCTTGTGTATATCTTAAGCAGTTAAATTTGACAACTGGCCATCTCACTGGTATAATTTGTTAAAATCTTTCATCTAAGACTTAGTGCAAGGGATTAAGGAATGAAATGTAATCCAGTCTTTAGAACTGGACTCTGAACTAAGCTAAAAAACATTAAGCACGTTCCTTACAGGCATGTATGACTCCACTTATTTCATCTATAAAATGGGACCAAAGGCAAAGGTAGCAAAATGTCTTGGCCTTACTATCATATTCTCCGTCAGGCTGGCCTAGATTAACTATATTTAAGCAATGAATGAAACTTCAAGAATCACAAAGACTAACTGTCGTCAAAACCTGTTTAAAGCATCTGGAAGGTGCTGACAGCTACAGAGGCTAAGAAATGTGGCTAGAGGTGACAGCCAGCACTGACTTATTATAGAGGCCATTCACAAAATACATGTTAGCTAACACTTTGATGCTTTAGAGCCATGGAACTTAGAGACCTGCCTTATTACCTTACTCCTTATGTACTACTGTTAGTCCTAACTTAATTGCAGCAACTGGCTATGTAGTAGCTTTATGCTGAGTACTCTTCCTGTGTATTCAAGGCTCAGAACAACCCTTTACAATGGGTGTTAGTATTGCTACTTTACAGGGTTAAGTAACTTCCCCAAGTTTACACAGCCAGTTAAATGCTGAAACCTGAATTCAAACCCTGGTATGTCTGAATCAGATACCCGTGGTTTTAACCTTACTGTGATGTTGCTTCCTATGAGTAAAACAAGAGATGCCTTAATTACCACACCTTAGCCTGAAAATCCTGCTGGTTTGAGTGTGGAAGAAATGCAGAGAGGGTATGTGGTAGGATGAAGTTTGAGGAACACTTCCTCCTTATATAAGACAAGGTAATTCTGTAATTCTGAAACCATCCCAGAGATATGGATGCTTATCCTGGATAACCGAGGATCTCGCAGAGTTTTCTACTCTAACTCATGTGCATTCCCAGATGCTGGCAGAAATCCGAGGGGATATCATTCATTGGTTATGTCTAATTCAAGCTTGTCCAACCTGCCTTATTTTGTTGTTGTTCTGCTTTGTTTTATTTTAGGCTTTTAGCAGCCTGAAACAATGGTTTTTAGTTTCTGTCTCTAGGGATAAGTGGAAAAGAAGGATAAAGAAGGGGTTTTACTGGCCCAATCAGAAACAGAAACTAAGAACCCGTGACTGTATTCTCTTCCCTTGAACACCCCTGGCTACTTCTTAACATCATAAGGTTCAGAAAATACTTCTGATACTACAGCTTTGAAAATCTGACATTCCTATGCTAAGGCTTTAATGTAGTTCACAACTAAAGAAGATTCCTGACATTCGAAATAAACACTGCTTTTCTTAATGTGGAATTACTTCTCCCAAACAGACCCTTCAGATGAAGCATTTATGCCACCATAAAGATCCCAACGCTCCTGTAACTCATAAATATCGCCACTGCCAGAATGCCTGTGAGAAGAATATGGTCAAAGCTCATCTATGAGGATAGAATGAGGATAAGAAACAAGCATCATCACCATGATAACAACAGCCAATGTCCATCAAGTGCTTCCTAAATGCTTCTCTCTCTTCTAACGTGTTATACATATGAATTCATTGAATCCTCACAATGATCCTTTCAAGTAAGAACTATTTTTAACCCTGTTGTGGAGATGCAGAAATGGAGACCAGAGATGTTAAATTACTTGTTTGCAGTCTCTGAGATAATAAACGGCATAGCTAGGATTCAAAGCCAGGCACTTGCCTCCAGAACCTGTGGCTCTCACCATACTCTGCTGCCTCTTGATATGGAGCCACAGGGATTAGCTTCTGGTCTAAGCTGTGGAAAGGCTTCAAGGGCCTTTCACAACAGCAATGGTCCTGTTACATATGTAATTTCCTTCAGTCTTTGAATCACCCTGTAGGGAACATCAATGTGTCCTCCCAGGGCTCAGCCACAGTATACACCTTGCTCAACCTCATCCAGCTCAGAGAGAACGGCATCTGCATCCACAGCCCCACACTGTGAGCCCTATGCAGTTTATAAAGTGCTGCTGCATGCACTGTGACATTAGGTTTCCCAGCCTTCCCAGGACCTCTGGATAGGCTGACTAGATAATGTTGGATGGTTATGGCACCAATATTCATGCCAACTTACAGTAAACAAAAGATACCAACTAGGCAGGGTGATGGGACATCTGTATTAGTCTCCTTTATGAACAATGACTGATCTATGTCAGGGGAAGACATACCACAGAGTTCGTCAGCAGCTACCAGCAGGCAATTCCATTATGTTTAGAAAATTAAGAAGAACACAGAATGCTGCAACACGGATAAACTTTGAAAACATTATGACAAGTGAGAGAAGTCAGCCATAAAGGACCATATAATGTAGATTCTACTTATATAAAATGTCCAGAATACGAAAATCAGAGAGAGAGAAAGTTGACTGGTAGCCACCTAGATCTAGGGGGGTTGGGGGGACGTGGGAAGTGGCTGCTGATAGATACAGGGTTTCTTTTGGTGGGGAGGTGATAAAAATACTGTAAAATTGATTGTGGTGATGGCTGTACAACTCTGTGAATATATTAAGAATGATTAAATTATACATTTTAAATAGGTGAACTGTATGATATGTCCATTTTTTCTCAGTAAAGCTATCGTGAAAAATAGAACAACACAGGAGCAAAGTCCCCACCCCACTGTATCCAGCACCAACCCCACTTCTATGAACTACTGGTACTCACTTTGAAGACTTCGCAGAATTGTCTGCCCAGCCTCCTTTTCGGCAGCGAGGAAGTGGGGGAGGGGAAGTCTACAAGTCAAAAGAACACAGTTGCTCAACATTTGCATTTATTTTATTTTATTTTTTATTTTCTATTGTTTGAGATGAAGTCTCGCTCCGTCACCCAGGCTGGAGTGCAGTGGCACAATCTCCGTTCACTGGAACCTCCTCATCCTGGGGTCAAGAGATTCTCACACCTCAGCCTCCCGAGTAGCTGGGATTACAGGCGCGCACCGCAACGCACAGCTAATTTTTGTATTTTTAGTAGAGACGAGGTTTCACCATGTTGACCAAGCTGGTCTCAAACTCCTGACCTCAAGTGATCCACCTGCCTGGGCCTCCCAAAGTGCTGGGATTACAGTCGTGAGCCACTACGCCCAGCCAACATTTGTGTTTAAACACCAATGGTTGAGGGTAAAGTCACCTACACCCATCAATATTCAGACTACCTTTTGAATAAAAATACAGTAACCTTTCTAATTTACTATAAAAATCTGGGTTCCTTCATACCCTCCTGGTGACTTATAAATTGGCACCATGCTTCTGGAGGGCTATTTGGGGACGTTTATTGAAAGCCTTAAAAATATTCATACTCTTTGGACCTAGCAATCTCAGGAATTGATCTCACGGAAAAAATCAGAGAGGAATATAATGTTATTTTTGAGTAGGAATAGCTGAAAACAACCAAAATTGCTAGCAATAAGGAATTAAGTAAATGGTAGAATGCAAATACTATGCAAGTAACAAAAAAAAAGTTATAAGAAATACCCAATAAGAAAGTTCAATCATTTTAATTTTCAAAAACATGTTACCAAACAGTAAGTATATGTTTTTGTTGCATTTTTTGAAATAATTATCAATACATACTATCTAATGTTAATGGATTATATGTACACGACTGAGAGGGGACTCCATGGCAATTTTAATTTTCCTTTTCTCTGCTGCTTTTATAAAAATAAAAGTAATAAAATAAAGATGTAAGAGTGAGACTTGCTTAGAAGACACAAACTAAGTTGGTGGATGGATTAAAAATCTATTTAAGAGGCCCACCCCAACCTCTGCCACTGCTGCAGTGACTGAGCACACTGTCTGAGAAGCTTGGGGATTGACCTGCCCCCACTTCCCATCACCACTAGCACCCATGTATGCCATCTAGGGGCCTGAGGATAGGCTGACCCCACCCACCACCACCACTGCCAGAACACACATGACTCAGGGGCCTAGGATCGATCCACCCTGCCCACCACCACTGGTGCACATTTTCTGGGGTCCAAAGGACCATTTTGCCCTTTCTACCTACCACCCATGCATGGTCTGGGGGCCTGGGAATACGCCTATCCCGCCTGCCAAAAAGAACAAAGCTGGAGACATCACACTATTTGACTTCAAATTAATAAATGGCAGAAATAAGTCCTTAGCTATCAATAATAACCTTGAATGTAAATGGATTAAACTCCTCACTAAACTGGCTGAATGAATTAAAAAACATCACTCTACGCTGTCTATAAGAAACTTACTTCACTTACAAAGACACACATAGACTGAAAGTGAAGGGATGGAAAAGAAAATTCCTGCAAGTAAAAACCAAAGCAAGCAGGAGAAGAAACTACACCTACACGAGATAACACAGATTTTAAGTCAAAAATTGTAAAGGGAGGCTGAGGCAGGAGAATCACTTGAACCCAGGAGGTGGAGGTTGCAGTGAGCCGAGATCGCACCACTGCATTCTGCCATGGAAACAGAGCAAGACTCCACCTCAAAAAAAAAAATTGCAAATAAGGTCTTTCTATAGTGATAAGGGGATCAATGTAACAATTCTAAATATATATGAACCCAACTCTGGGGCTTCAGATAATAAAACACAAATATTATTAGACCTAAATAGACTCGAATACAATAATAGTTGGTGACTTCAACATCCAACTCTCAGTACTGGATAGATCACCTAGACAGAAAACCAATGAAGAAAACTGGAATTTAAACTGTACTTTAAACCAAATGAAACTAACAGACATTTACCGAACATGCCATCCAACAGCCACAGAACACACATTCATCTCATCAACACATGGAACATTCTTCAGGATAGACCTTATGTTAGGCCACAAAAAAAAGGTCAAGAAATTTTTAAAAACTGAAATCATATCAAGTATCCTTCAGATGACAATGGAATAAAACTAGAAATCAATAACAAGAGAAATTAGGGAAACTGTACAAATACACAGAAATTAAACAACATGCACCTGAATAACCATCGGACCAATGAAGAAATTAAGAAGAAAATTTAAAAATTTCTTGAAACAAATGAAAACAGAAATACAGCATACCAAAATCTATGGGATACAGCAAATGCAGAGCCAAGAGGGAAGAATAGGAATAAATACCTACCTGGAAAAAAAGAAAGATTCCAAATGAACATAACTAACAACACACCCCAGGGAACTAGAAATGCAGGAACAAGCCAAACCCAAAATCACTAGAAGGAAAGAAATAATAAAGATCAGAGCAGAACTAAACAAAATAGAGACAAAAAAAACACAAAGGATCAATGAAACAAAAGATGATTTTTTGAATAGATAAACAAAATTAGTAAACTGCTAGCTAGACTAACCAAGAAAAAAAGAGAGAAGACCCAAATAAATAAACGTAGAAATGAGAAAAGAGACATTACAACTGATAGCACAGAAATACAAAGGATTGTAAGAGACTATTATGAACAACTATATGCTAATAAATTGGAAAACCTAGAGGAAATGGATAAATTCCTGGACACATACAACCTACCAAGACTGAACCAGGAAGAGACAGAAAACCTGAACAGACCACTAACAAGTAATGAGACTGAATCAGTAATAATAATAATAATAATAAACTCCCAAAAAAGAAAAGCCCAAGACTAGATAGCTTTACTGCTAAATTCTACCAAATTTACAAAGAACTAACACCAACTTTTCTCAATCTAGTCCCAAAAATTGAATGGGAGGAAGTTCTTCCCAACTCATTCTACAAGGCCAGTATTACTCTGACACAAAAACCAGGTAAGGACACAAGCACCACCACCACCACCACTACCACAACTGTGGGCCAACATCGCTGATGAACACAGGATGCAAAAATCCCCAGCAAAATACAAGCAAACTGAATCCAACAACACATCAAAAAGTTAATACACCACAATCAAGTGGGATCTATCCCAGGGATGCAAGGATGGTTCAACATAAGCAAATCAATAAATGTAATATATCACACCAACAGAATGAGGGATAAAAACCATAATATCATCTTAATAATACAGAAAAAGCATTTGATATAATTGAATATGCCTTCATAATAAAAATTCTCAGCAAATCGGTCATAGAAGGAACAAATCAGTCCTCAACTTAATAAAGGCCACATATGACAAACCCACAACTAACATCATACTTAATGGAGAAAAGCTGAACATTTTTCCTCTAAGACCTAGAACAGGACAAGGATGTCCACTTTAACCACTTTTATTCAACGTAGTACTGTAAGTTCTAGCCAGAGTAATCAGGCAAGAGAAAGAAATAAAAGTCATCCAAATTGGAAGAGAGGAAGCAAAATTGTCCCTCTTTGCAGATGACATGACCTTATATATACAGAAACCTAAAGATTCCATCAAAAAATTCCTAGAACTAATAAATGAATTCAGTAAAGTTGCAGGATACAAAGTCAAAATGCAAAAATCAGTAGTGATTCTACACACCAATAACAAACTAGTTGAAAAATAAATCAGGAAAGTTATCCCATTTATAATAGCTACAAAAAACATACTTAGGAATACATTTATCCAGAAAGGTGAAAGACTTCTACAATGAGAACTATAAAACACTGATGAAAGAAATTGAAAAGGACACACACAAACAGAAGGATATCCCATGCTCGTGGATTAGAAGAGTTAATATTGTTAGAATGACTGTACTACCCAAAATAATCTACAGGTTCAATACAATGCTGTCAAAGTACCCATGACATTCTTCACAGAAACAGAAAAACAATCCTAAAATTTGTATGGAACCACAAAAGGGCCTGAATAGCCAATGCAATACTGGGCGAAAAGAACAGAGCTGGAGGTGTCACACTATTTGACTTTGAAATATATAATACTATAAAGCTATAGTAATCAAAACAGCATAATATTGGTATAAAAACAAATAGAGGCCAGGCATGGTGGCTTGCTCCTGTAATCCCAGCACTCTGGGAGGCTGAGGCAGGTGAATCACCAGAAGTCACAAGTTCAAGACGAGTCTGGCCAACATGGCCAGTTTCTACTAAAAATACAAAAATGTAGAAACCCAGTCTCTACTAAAAATACAAAAATGAGCCGGGCATGGTAGCAGGTGCCTGTAATCCCAGCTACTTGGCTGAGCAGGAAAATCACTTGAACCCATTAAGTGGAGGTTGCAGCAAGCCAAGACTGCGCCATTGCACTCCAGCCTAAGTGACAAGAGTAAAACTCCATCTCAAAAAAATAATAAATAGAAATAAAAATAAAAACAAATAGATCAATGGAAGAGAACAGAGAACCAAGGAATAAATCCATGTATTTCTAGCCAACTGATTCTTGGAAAAGATGCTAAGAACATATTAGGGAAACAAGAGACTCCTCAGTAAGTGGTACTGGGAAAACTGGATATCCATATGCAGAATGACCCCCCATCTTTCACCATATACAAAAATCAAATCAAAATGGATTAAAGACTTAAATGTAAGACCTGAAACTATAAAAACTACTAAATGAAACCTTATGCACAGCAAAGGAAACAATTAACACAGTGAAAGGATAAACTATAGGAAAAGATATCTGCAAACTATTCATCCAACAAGGAATTCGTTTCCAGAATATGCAAGAAGTTCAAATAATTCAATAGCAAAAAAACAAAAAAACCCTTAAAAAGCAGGCAAAGGATCTGAAAACAATCTCACAAGATGACATACAAGTGGCCAAGTATATGAAAAAACGCTCTACATCACTGATCATCAGAGATGCAAATCCAAAACCACACTGA